ACTATCATATAGATCGTGGTGAAAAGATGCGACCGCTTAATTTAACATAAAAATACGTTATCACACTAAATGCTGTTATTAAGACGAGGACTACGTTCAATCCGGTTACCTTAGAGCTCATTCATATAAATATTTTGTGATTTCCACTATTATACGCCTAATTGACATGAAAGAAATCCTTTTTTTAGGAAATAGCGAGATTAAGATAGGTGAGCACTTTACCAGGTTGATTTAGGTATTTCATCAATCCATCACAATGTAGTAACCACTGTCCTAATGTCAAGCTTATAGTGTTTATAAAATTATATCAATAAGGTTTATTATATGGTCAATGAGCTAAATGTTTCGACATAAATATCAAACACGATACGTCAGAAACCCATTTATGTGAAATCACAGTTTTCAGAACGCATAAAAACAGATGCTTTTCAAGAGATTGGGATTCATGTTATACAATAGCTTAGTCTTTAATTTCTATACTGGTGACCTAAACTCATTTAAATTACATAAAATTTGTGCGATTTTCTAGTGAGTAGAAATGTTCAAGGAATCAAAATGTACTATCTAACTTTCTTCCTCTTGACTAGCTCATGAATGCAAAAACAATTAGAATGTTCCTGATTGGTAACATATTGTTATTTTCAAGTAAATATTCAAAAGAATTCTGTGCTAATTTAACGAACCTCTAAGAAATTATAACAAATAAACTGGATGTGAACACATCAGTCAATCACGTTTCAAAACTACTGGCTTTTCTTTTGAGAATGATGGAAGAATTTCACGTTATCGGAAATAAATTTGTTTGTAAAATAATTGAGTACATATTGCCTATATTAGTCAAATTTGAATTTACATATACCCATATATCCTTCAATTGTAGGAGTGCTTTCCTTACTTTGCCAATCCTCGCCTTCACATCTGCATCAGATCCTTTTTGTTCATCGATGATGCTAATTCCGCCTGTAGCTCTTCTAGGGATACCGCTGGTCTCGATCCCGGATAAAGGAGGAGGGTAGGGTATGGGGTTAGCGACCCCATCTCATATAAAACCAACTCGCTAAAAAAACGCTAACCAGAAAAAAATCAGTTACATGAAGAAAATTCTGACTGATAAATATTATTTATTCATTAATTGTTTTTCGTAATTCAGTCACGTGAGAAAGATTTAGACATAAATTAAGATAAGTCACATGTGATTTTCTAAGTTTTCTAAGAAAAAAATTTTTATATAAGTAACTAACCAAATATCACCAAAATCTGAATTTTAGAGAAAAATAATTATTAACTGTCAACTCTAAATGCCTAATTAATCAGTAATAAAGTTGGATCGATCCGGATCAATTAATGAAATATTTGTTTATGTATTCACTTAGTACTCAGTTTAGAAAGAACAAATTGTAGTGAAATCTGGAAGTATTTGAGATGGAAATACTTTTATAAAAAAATGCCATATAGCCTACGCGTTTTAGAATGTTCTCTATTATCACATGATTACTTCAAATATGAATACAGGACGAGTACAGTTTTAACTAATTAAATTGTAATGTACTTACTTACTTACGCCTGTTACTCCCAATGGAGCATAGGACGCCGACCAGCATTCTACAACCCACTCTGACCTGGGCCTTCTTTTCTAGTTCCATCAAATTCTTGTTCATTTTTCCCACGTCTGTCTCCATTTCTCGATGTAACGTGTTCTTTGGTCTTCCTCTTTTCCTTTGGCCTTCAGGATTCCATGTGAGGGCTTGTCTTGTGACGCAGTTCGGTGCTTTCCTCAATGTGTGTCCTATCCACTTCCAGCGCTTCTTCCTGATTTCTTCCTCCGCTGGAATCTGGTTTGTTCTCTCCCACAGTACGTTGTTGCTAATAGTGTACGGCCGACGGATCCGAGGTATTTTGTGTAGACAACTGTTAATAAACACCTGTATTTTCTGGATGATTGCTTTCCTAGTTCTCCAGGTTTCTGTCCCATACATTAGAACTGTCTTGACATTTGTATTGAAAATCCTGACCTGTAAACTGTAACCATATTACACGCTACATATAGTATAAATGAAGGTAAAATGGAAGAAACATTTAAATGTAAAGTGCCCAATCAACAATCAAAATATCGAAAAATCTTGTTAATTTACAGTATAGTACTTTACGTTGAATAATATGACTAGAATGTTAAATCTGGTAAAATACAGTTCAGAATATTAAGTATCTAAAAGGGTTAAGTTTAAAGAAAAGTATGAAAAGGATACAATTAAAATACACAACTTATTCAAAAATCAAGTTCCTTGAATTTATTGTCAACATCATTTATATACTCCCACAGAACTTTTGAGTACGGCAGTATTCTGGTGTAAACGAATTTAAAATAATACGTTACGCTGTATATTCTATCAGTTTGTTTAATGGTAACTTAATGAAATATACTCATGAACGATCAGAATACCTCTGAGTAATTTTAATCAAAATGTTCAGCATCATATTAATTGGAAATCATCGGAAATTTGTTTTGATGATCAATAAGTAGTCAGACCACCTTTAAATTTATAAATCTTTAACTAGTAATACGTCTAAAAAGGAAGAATGTATTTGTAATACATCTTCTACGTTTCGTCTACTAAAAATATGAATTCACGCTTCTTTTTCAACCAAACTTTCAGAGTATTTAGACTTTTTCAACTTCCTTATCACTCTATGTGAATGCATGCATGGTTAAATTGTGAATAGACTTTTAAAACAGATGACAGTTTCATTGTTTTATACCAAATGTTTTATAGAAATTGATAATTTTGAAACCTTGTTTTAATACAATAGTTAGGCTTCTTTTCCTGAATTATGGTATATCAACAAAACCGCAAAAATTCATGATATTTTTAGAATCTGTAGTCACAGTATATAATATAGGATTCGATCTGCACCAATAAGAACCTGACATACATGACAATGATCACCACGCAGTGATCAACTAATTGTAAATACAAATATACTGTTTCTTAACTTCTGAGTCCCGTACACCAGAACGCTTATGACTTTTTAGCTGCTGATTTCTTAGAGTATTTATTTTCTTTTTATACTGCTTATTAAAGAAAACTGTGTTATGAGCCACATGACTACTTCCGTATTTGATCTGATAACAACGTTCTCTAACATGCATTAACTTATGATTATTCATTTATCCTCCATTATATACTCCCATCAAAACAGTAAATCTATCTAAATTAGAGGCTAAGGTAGCTGTTATTTACGAACGATCGAGAATATTTTAATGCGAACGGGTTCTATGGTATTAATGTTTATAATCCACACACTAATTTGAAGTGGAGAAAATAGGACTTTCAGGATAGCTTTGTATTTTGAACGGAAGCGAAAAATTGAAATGAAGCAATTTCATTTATTTACTAACATACAGTGATGTTGGAGTATACAACAAAGTCATCAAACTATGAGTAATAACCACCAATCAGACAACAGAAAGAATCATCGCAGAATAATGAATAGCAAAAATGTTGTCGACGTTATCCCTTAAAAGAAGAAAAATAACAGTTACCAATAAAAAAACCAGATACCTTAGGCTCGTATTTTGAACTTCACGTTAATGCAATCTTCTTGACAAATATTCAACCAAAACAATTTGTGAATTACATATTCCAAATAAAGAATCCTTATTTTATACATGTTACATTCAACCTGATCGTACTGATGAACTAGTGTTCATTGTACAGTTATTTTCAGAATATATATATATATATGTAGAGTACACAATAGACATCTATCACGGTACTCGTTAAAGAACTCGGTAATAAATTAAACGTTTTAGATTATGAATATTATTCGCTTCAAGTACATGAGTATACTAATATATATATCTACTTTGTGTTATATTTCAATTGATAGAAAATTATATTTCCGAAGTTTCGTGACTTAATGTAAGCCATTTCTTCAGAATACATAAGTAACCGAATTAAAATAATACAAATTTAAATAGTACAAAGGAAACAAAATGACATTTTTCCACATCGTCTATCATACGTAAAATTGAGGATTAAAATTAAGCATACAAGGTGTGGCAAAGCATGGCTTATGGAAATCAAAACAAATGACAACCGATATCAACGTCAGAATCTTCAATGCAAACGTCGAGACAAGTCTACTCTACGAGGCTGAAACTTGAACAGCTACTACAACCATCATCAAGAAGGTACAAGTATTCATAAACAGCTGTCTACGCAAGATACTAAACATCCATTGGCCGGATACCATAAGCAGCAACCTTCTGTGAAAGAGAACAAACCAACTCCCAGCTGAAGAGTAAATTAGGAAAAGACGTTGGAAGTGGATAGAACATACATTATGCAAATCGTCAAACTGCATCACCAGACAAGCCCTAACTTGGAATTCTGAAGGGAAGCGAAAAAGAGGAAGTCCAAAGAACACATTACTTCGAAAAATCGAGGCAGATATGAAAAGGATGAATAACAACTGGAAAGAACTGGAAAGGTTTGCCCAGGACAGGGTTGAATTGAGAGTGCCGGTGGGCTGGCGGTCTATGCTCCTCCACGAGGAGTAACAGGCGTAAGTAAGTAAGTAAGTAAGTAATAAAGGGCTGCAGTAGAATATATACGTTTAAATAATTGGCTTGAATCAAACACTTTCATTCCTTCATTACGAGACAGTTTTATAGTAAATGAATATTCTCAATGTTTGTAAGTATTCTAATGCATAAATACATGAATACCTACTGATAACTATAAATTCTAAGAAACTAATCAATTTCATCCAATATAAGACGATGTCTAACTTACGTAGGTTCATTAAGCATCTACATTCTAAGTGTGATATGCATATGATACTACAAATTTGGAAATTTAGAAATCAAAATTAACTTTTTTTAAAAGAGATGATTATTATTACAACATGAAGTTAAATGAAATACATTTCAGTGGTAAGTTAAAGTGCAAATAAACAACAAAGTGTGTATTTAGTAATAAGTGAATTTTGATATTGTTTCAGTTTTTCTTATTAACAATATAACAAATAAAAATTAAGACAAGACTAAGTAGAAATTTATGTATTACTCGAGTCTGTATGCTTTTATTACATAAGTCTGTTTGGCAACAATCATAACTAAACGAAGTAAAATTTCTTTTCCAGTAATTAAATCCACAATCAGCTGCACAGAGTCTATGTGGAAAGGGTATACCTTCTATCCTAATTTTCTGTAATAAAAAGCAAATGAATACAATGAAAATATATCAGATGAATAAAACAACCAAAGAGAATACTCATGTCCAAAAACATTCGAGTCTTCCTATTATTCAAACAGAAAACTACCCCCAATTTGGACTGATCACTATTATTTATGTACATACATTACAAAAATGAAGATGGCATTGTACTATAAAAGTTTTAGTTGTATAATTTTTTAAACCTTAAATGTATAGACAAACTGTGATAATCAGGAGTATTTGAATTATAGTATGAACTAAGAATCCCAGAAATAACATAATCGGATCAAGAAGTACTAGATAACCACAAACGAATGTACTGTAATTAAAATTCGAAATCAAGCATTCAATAAGTACAAAGGTATCATTAGTTCATTCAAACACCACACAAACACACAACTTTTTGTTAATTATTAATCTGAATATAATAACCGTACGTTTGATAAATCAAAATTTCTAGCTAATAATCCTACAAACGAATTGATGTAGCATTGAATCAAATTTTAGGTCTTACTAGATTGTTCAAATTGATTGATGGAAATTTGCTTAGTCAAATCCAATAAGTAAATGAATAGGAACAAAAAATACTTGAATACAGTTTATTCTTTAAACTTACTGCACACCATTTACAACCATAATGTTCATCAACTAGTGGTGAGTTTGGATCAAATGGTATTGAACAGAAACTGCATGTGTAACACTTCAATGATAGACCTGATGTTGAAAATGATTAGGAAAAAATATAACGTATTTGTAGAACTGTATAACTATGTATATGTTGTGTATTTATACTACTGTGGTGTGTGCTACTTATATTGACAAAAGTAGTATATGATATTAGTCGTAAACAGAAGGTCTGGCAGCAGAGAGACAAGAGGATCGAACAGTAAAGAATGGAAACAGAATGCAACTTGTATGAAAATACAAGAACAATGAAGTTTGAGTAGTTTTGAGACAATTGATGGAAATTTCGCGAATTACGTATTTACTATTTGATTGTTAGATTTTATTAACAAGTCCTTTAATTTTGTGTCTAGTACATTCGATTGTTCCCATAGGTGTTCTGTTTACTACACTACTTCTGCAACTAGTTTTATTCAACACAGGACCAACTTTTATAAAATCATCCTTATTTTTCAATATGACTTTATATATATTTCTCATAATTTCAAAATAGTTTTTCATGAAAAGTTCGTTATTGGAAGCCAGGGAAGACTGAGTGATTTTTCCGGCTGACATCAGATTTGTGATAATTACAAGGTCTAAATTGAAAAATTCATTAACGCTTATTCATTTTATTAATCATGTGTGTATTAGCGACTAAATATAAGGTGTTTTTTTCAGACGTGTTTCGTTAAAATACTGGCATTGCTCGTCGTATGTCTATTTATTATTATTAAAGACATAGTTGGTTACTTCTCCTTGTATAAATGAGCAAGTACTGATACAACTTAATATAAAGAAGAAAATTAAGAACGTGGATCAACCCTTATGAAAACACAAAAATAATACACAAAAGATAAGACCACTGAACCCTCCTCTCACTGTTTTAAAAACTATCGAAAATACGACGCGTTGTCTGTGCTTTACTTACCTGTTCAATCGGCAAAATTGAATATCTTTCACTAGGTAGTAATTGATATAAATTAATCAATAACTAGAAGCGTATCTACGATTTACAATATCATTTCCTTTAACTGTATTTACTGACAAAATAACAAATTACTAAGTCACATACTCTCTTCTTACTACTGACAAAAACAAATGCGAAGTACTCACTTGTTGGTAGGGTTTAACCAAATGATTTTAGTATACAATAAATATTGATTGGTTGAGGTTAGACATTAACACCATTGGATGCCGGTTCAGTGGTCCAGTAGGTTGAGCGTTCGCGCGCAAGACTGAGGGCTCTGGGTTCGAATCACGCGAGGGGGATCGTGGACGCGCGCTGCTGAGGAGTCCCGCAATGAGACGAAACGGCCGCCCAGTGCTTCCAGGTTTTCAATGGTGGTCTAACATCATTCAGTTCATGATCTCAATCAAAAATATGGATAAAATTAGATTTTTAGTTCTAATTCCGAAACCTTTCCTTGTACCTATGACATATATACAACAAAAACTCTTTCGCTTAAATACAAATAAGACTATTGCCTTGTTAGAGTTTTTACAATTAAGTTACCAGAGATGATTTTAAATTAAAGATTATTTTGCAAGCAATGTAATGTCATAGTCAAAATATAAAATATTTTAACTATTAATTTCGAATGAAAACCTGCAACAGAATGAAAAAAACGTGCGGCATCTACAGTAACAACACTGAATTTGGCCATATGAAATTTAACTAAATTCGAAAATGTAGAAGACTAACTGAATTCGAACTCTTTCCCACTATTACTAATAATGAAGACATATACAACAAATAAAAATATGACATGAAATCTTATCAATCCCAACAATATAGATAATATCCATTATCTATTAAATTATAGTTTGTGAAGGAAACAGCATTAAATAGATAAAGTAACTGAAATCATTATCTGTTTAATCAAAATAATTAACTGTTTGAAGGAAAAGTGTACTACTGATGTCAACATATATAAGTAGTATGCATCATCAATAGAAAGTGAAATGTCTGGCAGGCATAAGGTTAAGAAGATTGAAGAAAAATGAACGAGAACAGAAAATGATTGACGTGGAAATGAAGGAACAATCAAGTCTAAGACGATTGATTGACATTTTGCAAATGAAGTGTTTACTGTATAAATCTCAGATTTTACTAATATGTTTTATAATTTTGTATTCAAATACATTTGATTATCCCCACTTGTGTTCTTGTTCACTATTATACACAAGTTGTTTCTACTGATATATACCAATTCAAATTATACACGTACCAGAAATAAGGATGTAACTTCAAATTATAACTCCAAGTTTTCAAATGTGTACTGGATTCGATCGTTTCCCCTAATTATCTGCACAACAAACAGTTTATGGATTACACCATATCACTTTGAAACTCGATATGAATTACATTATTTAGTGGGGTCCAGTCGACAAAAACCCGCGTCACAACACACTTTTTAAAATCCAACCGATCGAGTAAAATAATCTGAACTCATCTTAAAATAGTAAGCTGAATATGTGGGAAGTTATTTCAAGCGAACACCATGATGCAGTATCTTCGATTATTTACAGTAGTATTGAAAATTAAACTGAAGTGGTGAAAGAAGTAATTTTTTATTTTAAATTTCCTTTCCATTTAATCTCATTCCATTAACAAAAGGATTGTGGACCTCTTTTACTCCATTTCCAACTTCCCTGGATTTCACCTAACGGTATTAAAATTACTAAGATTTTAATATAATAGTTAGTTTGAACTAAATAGTTCTACTGTAAATCAGAAAATACTTAATCTTGATGAAAAATTGTCATACTGAATACATATGTACTGTAATTTGAGCTTATATCCTCTCACTTTATCCTCCATTAGGTTGAATGTCCGCTATTCAATCGTACAATCAAAAGTAATTTCAGAGATTTCTAACAGAAAAATGATTAATGGCTCGATAGTGACGAATACATTGCTTTCGAGCAGTTATATTTTACATGGTAAGTCGGAGTGAAGCTAATTAAGGTAACAAATCGTATTTGATGAATTATGTAAATTATGTATAACACTATCTAACATTTGTCATAAAGTGATGATGTATAGTCTAAATAAAACAAATAAATAGAGTAAAACTCCGTCTACACTACTTTTTGGTACAATACTCGTATATGAACTATTCATAGAATAACCACTATTTGGTATAATGTAAAATTAACAAATAAATACTTACTGTATTCTGTGTTTATCAGAAGCAACATTGTCACCAATATAATTTGCGCAAGATACATCATAGTCATCTTGAAGTGTAACGAAATCTAAATTCTAACTCCAAACGTTTGAGATTGTATCAATTTCTGTAATTATTTAACTTTGCTATTTTACAAAATGTGGTAAGTGTATATTTTATTGACTGACCAATAAGAAATATAAGTGATCAATGCGTACAGCTGACATATACTGTCTATCAACTACCGATATCATTTTATAGCTAAGCTTATTACTAATTTAAACGTTGACGTTTGCCAGAAAACTTTAATTGATTATTCACTCATTTATATTCCTTTTCATATTGCTTACTTTTCATAATAAAATTCTTTTAGTTTAATATTTATCCTGAAAGACTTGATTTCACTTGTTCATGCGCTGTTAACTACAAACTTGAGTTATATCCAGAAATAGAACCAAATGTGTTGGTGAACAAGTTTATCACTTGTTAGAGAGAAAGAGAAACATGTTTTACACTTATTTATTACAATTCATCATTCATAATAGAAGTAATTGATGAAATGATTTTATCACCTTATAGAATGACTTGAAAATTGGGCTTGAATCAAAAGAACTAGATAGGGAATAATTATAATCATAAATAATAAATCATTTTTCTCCATTTCACAATTCGTTGATACACGTACTGATTAGAATGAAACAAAGCTTGTTCATAAGTCACTTCAAATAAATCAGTCGATAGTGTACCGAAACAGCGATGATGACGATTCTGGTTAAATTTTACATCAATAGTTTATTTGTTCCTCACTCCAGTTATCATACCGAAGATTCAGCAAAAAATAATAATTTCAGACGAAGTGTAATTAATATTTCAAATCTCTTATATGATGTAAATCTCTTATTTCGATTGTCTAATAATGTTATTGTAGTTACAATGAATATAGTTTACTATAGTATATTATTCTTATTTTTATAACCAGTAATCTGAATAAACAGCCGATATTTAACTTCTTCAATACAAATACATCATGCTCACACCTGTTCTCAGTAACTGTGTACTAACTTAGTATATTGATGTTATATGTCTATTGCTGAATACATAGATGTGGTAGCGAAAGGGTCTTTCTTTTCTCGCAAGAGTTTATGTTATGGCTTTTTAAATATTTTGTGGTTTAGTCGTATTTCTTTGATGTAGACGAGCTGTTATTCACTCATAAGTTTTTTCTTAAAAATATCTAGGAGAAATACTATAACTATGGAGCAAACGAAATAACTGATGCTTTTAAATAACACTGCCTGTCAGTAAACAAATCAGCATTGTTTCACTTCATTATAACCCTGTTCCATTCAACTAGTTCCCTTGATCATTTAGTTCACCGGCAATAGTCAATATTACACTCTACTTTATTAAAAGTGAGTTAGGTCCTAGCTTTGTCTCTTTATGAGCTGAAAATTTCAACCAAACAAAGCACACATTAGTTTCAGTAGGCTTTTGTCAATAGAGCTTCCCAATTTTGATCCGATTGATTAATTATTTAAATAGCAACAATCCAAAAGATTTATACATATTGAAATTTTAATCAATCACAAGCTACATTGGATACTTTGATGAAAGCATTCAAAAGATAAACGTTGAATATATGGTATTCTTTGACAATGAAGAACTGCTCTTATCACCACAAAAGAAACTTCTGAGTATTTTGTAAACCTGTAGACCCAATATGGGGAAAAGTGAAAACAGGTCCAATCAATACTGTTTTACTGTAGCTTTCTGCTATGACACTAAAATAACACTGATTGTAAATATACCTGGAATAATAAAGAGCTCATCTACCGGTGATTTGCATCTGTCAAAACATCCTTAATTAAACACAATACCATCTACTCTTAAATCATGATAATATTCGCCTTGAAATTCGGTATCCCTATAATAATCAAAGTCTCTCACAAATTATCGTTTGTTTCTCATTGATGAATATATTTTTATTTTAAAGAACCTAAGGTTACTATAAAAGTCCATAAAAAGCTTAGTTAGGTATGTTTCAAAGTTAAATCCAACGCTAGGTTATGAATATGATTTACAAATTTTTGCATGAAATTGTTTTAGTGAGAAATTGAATCTTGAACTCTCTTAGTTTCACTTTATGAAATGACCACAGCAAAAAACTTCTTGTACCTGAATTATTAACTAGATAAATATAGATACTGGCTAGTAGTGGAACCTAGGACACGCATTTCATCAGCTGGATGTACCTGTATCCCAGAGTGAACATCAACTCTAAGATGCAGGTGCATGCAGCTAATGAGTCCTAAATAGAACGAAACGCGTGTCCTAGATTCCACTACTAGCCGCTATCCATCTTTGCTTAAAAAAGTATATGACTTAAGGCTATATCAAGACAATCCGTACAGGATGTATATATGCCAACAAGAGACTGATCAATTGCAGTCCTAAATAACAATGGAAAGATACAAGTAAAACAACACCAAGTGAATTGACTAGGTAATTTTCTAGTTGAGTGACTAACTTTTTCATGTATTTTTACTAAGACATTTTATCCACATTAAAGTTTCATGTCCAAAAATGGTCAAAATATTACAAATAAACTAGAAAATATCATCTTAGTAATTATTTACTTCTAATTGACGAATTTATCGAATTTTCAGAAATGTTTTTGTTATTAGACAAACCAAACTAAAACCGGGTAAAACATAGATCATTACTGTATGTAAGCATGATTAATTTTAATAGATGACTGTATGAATTACAAATAACACATGACAATGTATAAGTCCAGTCAAAATAAACAAATCGAAGTAAAATGTTCAGATTTGTTTGATGAAAAGAAATATCAACTAGTCCACACTACCGTATTCTATATTGATTAAAATCAACATCACAAATGGAATTTGTAAATTAAACTTCATAGTAATGAGGTATTGTATTGAAATTGATTTCCTTTCTCAGGTACCTATGATTTTATCAGTTATACAAGTTATGCAATTTTAATATTTCACAAGATAGTTGTCGTTACAAGGTCAAAAATATTTGTGTCGATGATTAACCAATGGGAAATTTAAATAGAATCGTGGGTGTTTTTATTCTTCACTGCTGATATAAACATCAAACATAAACCCACTCTCAACTTTTTATTATAGCTTGAAACATGAATGTACTTTGTTTAATAGTTGACGTTTACCAGAAAATTGTAGACAATTATCCATTCATCACCAATTTTCATTTTCGTCCAACGAATTAAAACGTTAATTATTCTATATGGAGTTTCATTATGCTAACAGATAGAAAAAGAGTGAGTTGAACAACACGGTAAACAATCGTGAAGAAGCGAGAAATAAATAACACATTCTGTTGAAATAATTTCTCGTTAAGTAATGCATGCATAGGAATAGTAACAGTCTTCACTAATCACATATACCTGAAATAATAGAAGCTGATTCTTGATAATCGGTTAATAGAAGGTTTAGCCACTTTCTAGTTAACGGTAGTTGAGAATCAAGTAATGAGAGTTGGATACAGTATAATTATAATTAGAAACAACAAATCACCCATTTCTCATTAACAAAACAGGTATTGGAAACGTCTATGACAATTTATCTGCTTGTGCGAACTAATTTATTTTAGCTTGCAGGATTGTAGAATAATTTAAACACAATATGATAACCAATCTAAGATTTAATACGTTAACATCTCTGATTCTAATAAACTTTATACATTGAATTCATACATTTAGTCAGTCTTCAGATAATATACAACTAAATTCTCTGTTTAGTATTTTGAATCAAAAAGGGAATATATTTTACTATTTCGATATTCAACATGTTAACAACTTGGAAATTTTTGCCCTCAAAGTAGCAACAGCACGGTTAATTTTAGAGTCATTTTAAACCTGTGATCATGATTGTATCATTTGAAATTTGTATAAATGTTATTCACTTGTAACTGGTACTTATTGGACGAGGACGGCTCATTACTACCCAGTGGCAATAATAACTTTACCAAGGTAAAGTGTTTGTCCTCAGGAATAACAGTACTCACCGTTAAGGAGTTATGATACCAATTTAAACAAATGTTAGACGGTCAAACACTGAAATCGAAACGTAGATTTTATTCTTTTCCCCCTCTTCGAGTTAGTAAAACATAACTTATTTTAATAGTTCTATTGAATGTATAGCTCACCTTCATCTTTCTTTAATGCTAGGACTACAACCCCTGAGCTCCTTAAAAAAAGAATATTATTAGATAAGATCAGTAAATCCCCTCAAAGTAAAAATACCGAACTACTTCTTAAACTCTAACGTTTTAGATGAAAACAGAAATAATTTAAAGCTGTCACCTCAACGTAGATCCCTTAGTAAATGTTATTAGTTCTATCAGCATGTTAATGGTCATAATGATAATTAAATATTGTGAAAATAAAATTTAACATGTCACCATGAAGTATCAGAAGGTATAAAATCCAAAATCAGAAAATTGTGTTTTCATACATATTGGTTGTTTGAATCTTCCCATTGTTGTTTAGGATCGCAGTTGATCCAGCTCTGTTTAATTATATTTCCCCTGATAGTTATATGAATTAAAAAATACGTTGTGAATATGAATAACAATTTTAATGCAGTTTTATGTGCTTGATAATGTAATGAATTTCCCTCATAAAATATACAATGATGCCTTAAAATTTAGTTTAACAGAAACTTTATTTGTAACTACTGAACAATGTGCTCCATCAGTGTTTATCTTCTATTCATCATCAACCATAACAGTCGCCGACCATTTTCACACTATATAAACTTTTGTTTCATAAATCGTAATGTATATTCCTCTAGTTTTTCCCCAAAATAGACAAGAGGGAAACTATTTTTATCACTATATTGTTTCCTTTTTATCTGATATCGGTTAATGTCATAAAAGGTTGTGGATTTTCTGCACAGGTCCACGAGTACGTTGTACAACTCACATAAATAATTACGTCATTAAAACAAGTCTAAAATAGGAAAAGCTATTCCAATAACTGAAGCTTTAAATAAATGGCTCAAAAGTTTAAGCAGGTTA